TCCCTTTTGGTTTTGTGATGTCATGCTGTCAGTAAATTTACACCAGGGGACAGGTTTCTTCTCCTCTCTCTGCCCTCCCTCCAATATTCCAAACCATTAATTTGTTCGACTTTTTCTTTTTGAATGCTGGAATAGCACAATTGTATGAAAGTAAAAACAATACTGTGGGACGATGGGGATAGGAATGTATGTGAAAATGCAATCACAAGACCATGGAATGGTGAAGGGATGCTACTGTATTGGAGGTTGTAGATATAAATAAATAGAAGCTTTACCACTGTTTTTGAACCAAGATATATCCTGCAGTATAATAATGTGTCACTCAGATTTGTGTAACGAGTAACAGTAACTTTATTTCAGTTCAAAAAGTCAAACAGAGCAACAATATATATATAAGAGTCTGTCTGAATTCTCACAGAGAACAGAGGGAATAAACAGTCCTTTCAAACAGTCTTTAAAATATGCTTCATGCACCAGAAATGATCAGGCTTCAGAGAATTGGCAGCTATTTCCTTCCTAGCTGTTTCCAGTCAGTGCCCTCTTCACTCTCCGAGGTGAAAGTGGCAGTTAAAACCGTTTGTCTCAACAGCAAGCTAGAGACAGTAGCCAATCAGAATTCTGGCTCCTGGCATGCTCAGCCAATCAGCTGCTGACACATGCCTTTCCAATCAACCCATTACATCATGGTGCTTTTTTACAAATCCTCACATTCTGCAGTAATGAAGACAAATGCAATATCAAAGCTGCTAAAACCAGTATGTGCCCAGTAACTATGCTAACTTGACTGTAGCGAAATAACAGGTTGGTGTGATATACTCCTAAGTTCAAAGTGCAAAAGTATTTCCATTCAATGAACTCAGCATGTGGGGGGGGGGGGCGCATCTTGTCCTTGGTAGTATGCGCAGGCAAAAGCAAACTGCTGCTGCCTCTCTTAACTATTGCCATCTTTCTGCTCCATAATGTTAGTCAGTCAAGGTCCTTTGGCACACAAAGCCTAAAAATCATAGAAATACCTCGCTCCAAAACTGGCAGTAAAAAAAGGAAGAATAAATTAAGTAGCTAACAATTTTCCTTTGCAAATGTGTTATGAAAGGACAGAAAATTATTAATTAAGGTCTGCTTTATGAGACAACTGTTTTCTCTGTGCCAAATGCAGGCTGTCACTCACCAATATCAGAAGTGCTATAAGACTATCCCTTCCTGTAATGCAGGAATACACAGCTAAAATACTCCTGACAGATGGCCATCCAACCTCTGTTTAAAGACCTCCAGATAAGGGCTGTCAGCCCATTCCTCAGTTTTTGGGGCTGATTCTGTTGATTTGACTGTCTATCCTGTGTTTTTAATTTGCATGGTTGTAATACATTGTATTGTGTTTCAAAATTTCATAAATTGCTGTGGGAACTGAAGCATGGGCTTGAAATCCCTGAAACAAATTAATTACATTTTAGAAGAAGCAGAGAACTGGAAATGTGAGTACAACGAAATATCCCTCAGCGAGCTACTTCTATAAGTCATGGGTCTGTAAATAACCTCAGTGAATCTTTCAGACAGATGAATTCAGACACTCTGTGGACAGATGCAGACAATCACTTTATCATGTGATAGTGCTTGTAAACATACTGTAATAGACTGAATGTACGCTGACTGATTGAAAAAAGGCCGAGTTTCCAAGAAACAAGCAGGTTCCCAGAACAAAAGCAAACCAAAGGAAACTCAGTGATGTTTTAATCTGCTGGTCTGTGTGAAGGTGAGGGCACTTGGGAATTGATCAGTCTTGGGCTGAAGACAAATATTTTTCTCCAAGCACTAGAGTTTAGATTGAACAAAATAGAATCATAGACTCATAGAATTGGAAGAGACCACATAGGCCATCCAGTCCAACCCCCTACCATGCAGGAAAGGCATAATCAAAGCACCCCCAACAGATGGCCATCCAGTCTGTTTAAAAGCCTCCAAAGAAGGAAGGCAAAAAAATTCGTTGTTCTATGAATTCCCATTAATGAACTTCTATTACAGTACTACCACCCCCAGTATGTGTAGGGAATATATTCCAAAACACACACACACTGTAGATACCTGAAAACACAAGTAATAATGAACTCTATATTTTGACTATACTGGAGGCAGAGGCACATCATAGAATCATACTGGAAGACCTACAAAGGCCAACAAACACTTTTGAGGGGAATATTTTTTGAGCATAAGTAAGTGAAACCCTGGGAGCCCCCAGTGGCGCCGCGCAGTGGGTTAAACCGCTGAGCTGCTAAACTTGTTGATGGAAAGGTTGCAGGTTTGAATACGGGGAGCGGCGTGAGCTCCTACTGTCAGCCCCAGCTTCTGCCAACCTAGCAGTTTGAAAACATGCAAATGTGAGTAGATCAAAAGGTACTGGTGTCCATGCAGTCATGCTGGCCAGATGACTTTGGAGATGTCTACAGACAACCTTGGCTCTTCAGCTTAGAAATGGAGATGAGCATCACGCCCCAGAGTAGGACATGACTGGACTTAATGTCAAGGGAAAATCTTTACATATGTGAAACCCTGAATATTCAATCCATATATTTGGGGGGGGGGGGGGGACGGGACATTTTAATTCCCATTAATTAGCTCCTAGTATTTAATTCATTACAGTGGATAAAATACAAGTCATTCATTCTATATTAATCAGATAAATGTAGCTTGCACTTTATCCATGAAGTGCCTTTTGGTCCTCTACTGCAGGGGTCCTCAAACATTTTAAACAGAGGTCCAGTTCACAGTCCCTCAAACTGTTGGAGGGCCGGATTATGATTTCAAAAAAAAATGATGAATTCCATTGCCACTGTACATATCTTATTTGTAGTGCAAAAAACAATAAAATGAAGAATAATTTTAACAAATATAAACTTATTAGTTTTTCAATAGGAAGTGTGGACCTGCTTTTGGCTGATGAGATAGGATTGTTGTTGTTGTTGTTGTTGTTGTTGTTGTTGTTGTTGTTGTTGTGTGCTTTCAAGTCATTTCAGACTTAGGTTGACCCTGAGTGAGGGCTGGGTAAATGACCTTGGAGGGCCGTATCTGGCCCCCGGGCCTTAGTTTGAGGACCCCTGCTCTATTGTATTGTTCCCTTTTCCCAAATCTAATACCAATAAAACATCTTAGAGGAAATGCTAAACAAAAGACTGGAGAAAATACATCATGATCAAACTTTTCAGTAACATGGCACTGGCAAAATCTCCATTCTCGTCATTCAGTGGTTCTTAACCTGTGGGTCCCCAGGTGTTTTGGCCTACAACTCCCAGAAATGCTAGCCAGTTTACCAGCTGTTAGGATTTCTGGGAGTTGAAGGCCAAAAGATCTGGGAACCCACAGGATAAGAACCACTGTAGTTAGCTGTCATGGAAGATTCTATATTACTACCCCAAAAGTATCAATTATCTGCATCCACCATTTTTTAAAAATCTAGTTCTCCAAATACTTGTTGTAAAATACATGCCTGACTAGTAGCTATGTTATCTGGTTCTTCTGCAACTCAACATCCAACAACATAAAAAGACCATCAAGTTTGAATATCACTGCTCTAGGAATTTGTCATTAAGGATGCTTTAAGGTAAATAAAAAGTTTCCCCTGACATTAAGTCTAGCCGGGTCCAACTCTGAAGGGTGAGCCTCATCTCCATTTCTAAGCCGAAGAGCTGGCGGTGTCCGTAGACACCTTCAAGATCATGTGGCCAGCATGACTGCATGGAGTGCCGTTACCTTCTCACAGAAGCAGTACCTATTGATCTACTCACTTCTGCATTTTTTCAAACTGCTAGGATGGCAGAAGCTGGGTCTAACTGCAGGAGCTCACCTCACTCCCCGGATTCGAGCCACCAACCTTTTGGTCAGCAAATTCAGCAGTTCAGTGGTTTAACCCACTGCACCACTAGGATGCTTTACATGTTGCATTTCCTGTAAGGGAAAATGTATGTACCTATGACATGAAGGTTATACACAAGTCTAAACTAAACAAATCCAACATCTAGAATGAGACTGGGCTGATTTGGACACATCTGAAAAATACCTGAAAACAGGATTCCTCTGAAGCAGAATGGATCCAAATCAGAGTAGTCCCATCCCCCCCCCCCCCCACCACCACCACCTCCCCAGCAGCTTCATATTTTGAAAATATCAGGTTGAAGAGAAGGGGGAGGAAGAGGAAAAGATATGATTTTGTGACTGCCAGTTCCAGCTTATAATCTTTACTGACTGCCTCCTTCAGGCAAACTGGAACTCTGCCTTTTTAGGGAGATATTAACTACACTTTCTATCCACTCGGCCAGTCTCCCCTGAATTTTTTAATGAGCCTGGAAACATAAACATCTAACACATGTATAATGGTTCTCATCTATCCAAGAAACTTGTCCACATCCTCAGGCTAAAAACATTGAAAAGCATCAATTATCACTGGACATGTAAAGAGCAGAATTACATCCACTGGGTCTGTAACAATTATAGCATTCAAGTCTGAGTGAATCTGAGTGGTTTTGTCTGTACAAGTATAATGCTAGGCAGGTTCTTCCCAGTGAACTGTCATGTGGTCAGAAATGATTGAAATGTAAAAATATGTAGAACAGATCACTGTATTTCCTGCCTAACAGACTTCCAGATCAGCACAATTTCCACAATGTTAACTATTTCAGCTATTTCCAGTGGTAATCCATGTGAGATGCCACATTTTGGACAAACTACCGTTTATATTTCCACCTGAGCTGAAATTCTTCCCAAGTTTAATAACTGCTTTCTGAACCACCTTACTGGAATCTGAACCACATAAAGTGGCTCATGAACAACATTGCAGTCTGAAATAGTTAAGCCTTCAGTTACTGCCCGTTACGGATAGCAAGGCTCTATAAGATAACATCTGCCAAAACAAGCAATGCATTAGTCACACATGAGGGTGTAAATGGATTTCCTATGCCAATGTACAGCCATATAGGGAAAATGTCACGTATAACACAGTCTTAGGATATGTGGCTGAGCAACTGTTTTTGCAAACAGTAATACTGGCGTATAAAGAGAAGACTGCTCATTCAGTAAGACTATTCCTGAAATGTGCAATTGATAAAGATACTCTAAAATCAGAAGCCTTCCTATATTAGGTGGTGATGAAGTCTATTGCAAGGAAGGGAAGAAGGAATCAAGGATTTTTGCTTGGCCTTGCTAGGCTACATTCCTTGCACAACTCTTTCTGAACATCTGGACCCAATCAAACTGATCACAAGCTGGAAAGCAGACTGTTGGCTCCTAGAAACGAACTTATCTAGCTGAGAGCTTTGCACAACTTTATTGTGTTAATGAGAGACTCTCGGAACCTAAACAGCCATTTTAAATCTTTGCAATGTTGTTTTGTTTAGTGGAGCTGAAGACACGTAAGCATACCTTCCGTGCTTGAGAGAAATTACACTGAAGTCTTGGATGTCAAATCTGGGGTGTCTTCACAAGTATTTGAAAAGGTTTGGTTTAATGAAACAATGGCAGCCTTACAGCTCAAATTTTTATTAGTTTCATTTTTCACAAGCATCATGGGAGAAGCACAATATTTAATGCAGGATGCTGGATTGGTACATTACATCGACCGGCGAATTGTCTCAATAGAGGTATGTGCAATTTGAACATTTCAGTGGGAGTAAGCTGGTTGCATCAAAATCTATTTTATGTTCTTTGTGAACAGCGCATGTACTGTCTATCTGTATCAGATAAATTAATGGCTTTTCCTTAAAGTTCCATAACTGTAATTTCAAGCATGCACAGTTTAACTAGACATAAGAGAAAAGTGTCAAATTGCAAAGTTGTTTATAAACAGAGGGCAGGAGAGCTGTTTCTGTGTATTGATTTTATGTGCAAGTAAAATGTATGTTTTACATTGGCTACCATTCAAAGTTACACATATCTAAATTCATTTTATTTCAATGGGAAAGAACATTTAATTTACTTCATTTGAGTTTACCATGGCTTAGAGTATGCTAACTCTTTTAAGTTACTGCTAAAATAATAAATGATTTTTTTACAGGAAACAGAATGATTTTAATCCTTAAGACACATCTATTAGAGATATTATTTGAACTTTGAATTCCAGAAGTACTCCACCTGCTTTTTAAAGATGACCTCTCCACAAAATCTTGATGTTGTGCGTGTTTCTGAAATAAGAGCTAATCTTGCTAAGTCACCCTTTTGCACAGAAGTAAATGGAGTAAAACCTCAACTTGCTTGGGAACAGAGAGGGCGAGAGGAGGAGAATCACATCCTCATGTCTTGTGATTATCAGCAATAGAAGTGTAGCAGAACTGACCTATTGCACTGGTGCTATTGGTGTTTTTTCTGTCAATGAAAAGAGGTGTTAAACCAACAATCTGAATGCAAAACAGCAATAGGAGAGCTACGATATTGTGTGATAAGTACCACCTACAGGTGCTGTTATCTTGTTATAATTGTGATCTAGAAACCTTTTGTGATAAAGTCCTTAAATGTACAACTTTTCAAAATAATGAAAGAAGTACTTTAAAGCTCCTGCATTAAGAAAATTAACTTTGTTTTCTAAAGAGGCATGCCTCATATACATTATCGCACTATAGTGAACAGAAAACACTAATATTTTGATTACAATTGCTTTGAAATTATGCAAGATTAGTAAACCAGTCATTTGCTCCAATTATGTGTTGTGCTAATTAACAGTACACATGGAGTAGCATAAACTTGTGGTGCTTCAGGTACTAATAATTCAGACTTCCATCACTCTCAGCCACCATACTCAATCCACAGGAATTATATTAATTTTGTGTGTGTGTGTGTCAGGAGTGACTTGAGAAACTGCAAGTCGCTTCTGGAGTGAGAGAATTGGCTGTCTGCAAGGACGTTACCCAGGGGACGCCCGGAGGTTTTAATGTTTTACCATCTTGTGAGAGACTTCTCTCATGTTCCCACATGGGGAGCTGGAGCTGACAGAGGGAGCTCAACCCGCTCTCCCCAGATTCGAACCTCTGACCTGTCAGTTAGCAGTCCTGTAAGCACAAGGGTTTAACCCATTGTGCCACAGGGGGCTCTTATTATATTAATTGTAATCCAATGAGATCTGCAGGGGCACATGTTTCCTCTTTATAGATGTACTTTGGTCTCTTTGACATTATAGTCTACTCTCTCTATCCCTGGCTTCTGTATCCCTGGATTCAACCACCCACAGCTTGAAAATATACCAAAAATAACCACAAAATAAAATTTTGATTTTGACATTTTATATAAGGGAAATTATTTTACTTTGCTATTCTGTATAGCAAATAGAGTAGAGACATCACACTGACAACGAAGATCCGCATAGCTAAAGCAATGGTATTCCCCATAATCACCTATGGATGTGTGAGCTGGATAATAGGGAAGGCTGAGCAAAGGAAGATAGATGCTTTTGAATTGTGGTGTTGGAGGAAAGTTCTGAGAGTGCCTTGGACTGCGAGAAGATCCAACCAGTTCAAACTTCAGGAAATAATGCCTGACTGCTCATTGGAGGGAAGGATATTAGAGACAAAGTTGAAGTACTTTGGCCACATCATGAGGAGACGGGAAAGCTTAGAGAAGACAATTATGCTGGAGAAAATTGAAGGAAAAAGGAAGAGGGGCCAACCAAGGGCAAGATGGATGGATGGATGGCATCCTTGAAGTGACTAGCTTGACTCTGAAGGAGCTGGGGGAGGTGATGGCTGACAGGGAGCTCTGGTGTGGGCTGGTCCATGAGGTCTCAAAGAGTCGGAAGCGACTGAACGAATGAACAACAAGAAATTCTATATAATGGGACCTGAGCAACTATACACTTGAGTATTTATATGGAGTCTGGAACCAAATCCCAGGAGATACCAAGGGCCAACTATATAGCACTTTGATTCAACTTTAGCAGTTTTTAGAAGTCCTGGTTGTTTTACTGGAAAGCTGTCTGAAACAGAATTTTAATTTGGTTTCATTTTCTTGTCAGCATCCCCTGGTATGTTTCTTAGTATCTGACAGCAATCAGTAGCGCAAGAATACAGCTATAGACCTCCTTTTTTGGAACGCTAACAGAAAAGGTGCCAGCTTGGCTCAGCAGGCTTACAATCAACATTGGATAGATTAGGCAAAGAGAAATCAAAGAGTCCTGTGATTAATGAGGGTGAGACAAAGAATAATTGAGAGGCAAAAGGGGGAGCCAGGGTAAAGCCTGGATTATAGATTATCATAGCAACTTTCATTTGATAAGTTGGGTAAGTGCTATAATCAATCATCATGTAATCATTTCCCATGGCTTGATGCCGATTATATGCAGAGGTGCACCAAATTGAAAAGGATTACCTTCCAGACTAACTGTGGAGATCAGTAATTACAGATATATCACAGAAACTCATATGTTGTGTTTTGGAGACCTAAAACCTGGAACAACAACACTTGAAATAGAAGATGAGCAGTTGTTGTGGTGGTGTGCCTTCAAGTCTACTCTGGCTTAAGATAGACCTATCATAAGATTTTTTTTCAGTAAGATTTAATCAGAGAAGGGTTGCCATTTTCCTTTGGCCGGCCCAAGGTTTCATGGGTGAGTAGGAATTCAAACCCTGGACTCGTGGAATCCAGTGCTCACACCATATGACTTTCTAGGTAAGCATTACAGGCCCCCATTTTTTTCCACCTCTGGATTTGATTTTAATTCAACCCAGAGAAGAGTTTCACACTCATTATCCCTGCTTCATTCAAGTTGTTGTCAATGCTTGTGGAGAGAAGATAAGAATCTCACTCCCTGTCATCCTGCTCTCTTGCCATGGAAGCAGACCACTTGCTAGATTTTAAGAGGTACAGTTAAAGCTTCTTCTGCAGCCTCCACTGCAAACATTGCACACAAAGGACAAGGAGGGTTGTATGGATGGGAGGAGGAGCAAAGGCTCAGAAATTATCCAAAGGAGACCCCCACATATTCATCTGTTTGCTTAGTTCCTTTTTACCAGATCGGTTTTCACCTGAGGGGAGGAATAGTCTGAATGTGTTAAAGCTAATCCAGTTCACATATGAAGCAGTCCAACTAATAGCAGGTAACTCTCCCTGACATGAAGTGTACAGAGTGACTCTCTATTAGTCTATAAGTAGTGTAAGAAAGGAAGTGCATGGTTTGTTTTCTCCATGTTTCCTTTCCCATGAAGATGAAGCTACACAAATAATTCCAATTATTGCTCATTTCAACCTCCCTCCAGAAAACATCACATGTTTGTAATTTCTGCTCTCCTTTTTTAGCATAGTAAAGATAGAAGAATGACTGCTTTCTTTCTCTCTCTCACTTACTGGAGAAAATGAGGGAAGGGAGGGCAAACTGCCTATGCAGGAAACTGCAAAGCTACAGTTCCAAGTAACAGTACTTGGTTGACTCTTTTCTTTGGCTTCATCCCTTCCAGCTGTGCAACATCTGGATCAGCAGGGGCCTCACTGCTGTCTTCCGCCAGCACAGTTACTATTTATTTCTGCCTTTTGGAAAGAAATTATTAGGCTGTGGTGAAATTCTGCAGGCAGCTGTTGTCCAGCTTCCTCAAAGGTCAAAGAACAAAAGCTGAGTGCTTACTGACAAATACAGAAACTAAACCCATTTGCCTTTCAAAGTGTACATTGGAAAATATTGTGTAAATATAACAAATGTTTCCAAAGATAGGTATATATAAGCACAGCCAGTCCTCTGTATCCATGGATTCTGTATCCACGGTTTCAACCATCCACAGACTTAAAATATCACACATACACCCATTGAAAAAGTGAATTTTAGTTTTGCCATTTTCTATAAGGGATACCAGTTTACTGTGCCATGTATATAATAGAACTTGATCATCCAGGGATTTTGGTATTATGAAGGATCTTGGAACCAAACCCATGTAGATACCAAGGACTTGTTGTTTATTTGTTCAGTCAATTCCGACTCTTCGTGACCTCATGGACCAGCCCACGTCAGAGCTCCCTGTTGGCCGTGGCCACCCCCAGCTCCTTCAGAGTCAAGCTAGTCACTTCAAGGATACCATCCATCCATCTTGCCCTTGGTCGGTCCCTCAGCTCTTAAACTAAAGACCCTTTCACACTACATAATAGTATCACTACAATTCCACTTTAACTGTCATGGCTCCATCTTATGAAATTCCAGTGTTTGTCATTTGAGGAGGCAGTAGAACTCTTTGGCTGAGAATTCTGTATACCTGTCCCAAAACTATAGATCCCAGTATACTACAAGATGGTGTCATAGTAGCAAAAGTAGAACAACAGTTTGAAAAGGCTTTCATTCTCTGTATATAAGTTCTAGGTGTCTGTTTTCTGATTAAAGAACAGATTGAACAAATGCAATCAAGATATAGCAGATTATGTGGAAGAGTTCCGAGAGTTTTCAAAGAAAATGATGTCACGCGTAGAAGGACTTGGCATTTTAAAGACAGAGCTTAAAAATGAAGTGGATCATTTGCTAACAAGAGTGGAAAGAGCTCAGAGAGAAATTGACTACTTTGAATCTGCAAAAGAGTCACCAAGCCCCTGCGTGGAAGTCGACAAAGACCTACTGGAGCAACAATTAGTGGAACAAGAAGAGTCTCGGAACAAAATCAAGCTTATGCTTAATGCAAGTAAGAGCTATTTATCCATAATATTTTATTCTTACTGTTCAATCAATGCCTCGGTTTGCATCTCAAACCAAGACACTGCCATATAATGCAATTCTGAAACTGCATTATCCAAGCAGATAATTCACATTATCTGCTTTGAACGGGATCAAATGAGTCTACACTGCTATATAATCCAGTTCAAAGAAAACAATCTGGATTTTATATGGCAGTGTAGATGGGGACTGAGTTGTCATGATGTGAATGTTTTGTTACATACCTGTTGTATGGTATTTTTAGCAGAAATCAAGGGGCAACCTTATTTAAAAACACAGGGTAAAAACAAAATATAACATCCGTATAAAAGTAATATAACTCCCCCCTTTTTTTAAAAAAAAATAAAAAAACCTCTTGGATTTTCTCTTTTGATGTGGCTGTGATGTGGCCCTCATTTTAGCCATGCAAGTATTTGAAGGGAGGGCAATAAGCTTTAATGTGTGAATAAGCATTTATTTTATTTCTAAAATCCTTCCGTTCATGTAATGGCAAAGCTGGATCTAACCAATTTCTTACATAGCATCACCATACAATACTTTAAGTAGAAACTGACTATAAACTGTAGGGTGGTTGCCCTTATAGTAAGAATACTGCCTTGCCTCCATTATTTAGTCTGGCATTCATGAAAGATAAACTTTGAAAAGAATTCATATCTTTGTTCACTTTCTCTAAGGCCCCTTCTACACTGCTATATAATCCAGATACCCAAAGCAGATAATCTGCGTTATCTGCTTTGAATTAGATTATATCAGTCTACGCTACCATATCATCCAGTTCAAGGCAGATAATCAGGACTTTATATGACAGACAGTGTAGAAGGGGGGCTTAGCCTTTTGCCACTGTGAAAATTGCTGCTGAAATCTGAGGAGTGGCTGCCTGCAATACTTCCTACAGTAACTTTTTTGTGTCAGAAGCAACTTGAGAAACTGCAAGTTGCTTTTAGCATGAGAGAATTGGCCGTCTGCAAGGACATTGCCCAGGGGACTCCCGGATATTTTACCACCCTATGAAAGGCTTCTCTCATGTCCCCACTTGAGAAGCTGGAGCTGACAGACAGGACCTCACCCCACTCCCCAGATTCAAACCGCTGACCTTTTGGTCAGCAGCCCTGCCAGCAAAAGGGTTTAACCCATTGCACCACCAGAGCTCCTACAGTAACTAGAACACTGCTTCTTATACTATGGGTCCCGACCTTTTAGATCAATGTTGGGGTAATGAAAAAAAATCAGTCTATCAGTGGCAATTTAGACTTTTCATTAATTTGTTGTGCAGTGTTTGCAGTGGAGTCTGCAGAAGAAGCTTTAAGCTTCATAAAAAGCTTTGCAAATACTGATTTGTTATCAGTATTTGTTTCATATTATTATTATTATTTAAAATTTTTATATCCCGATCTTCTCACCTCCGTAGAGGGTCTCAGACCGGCTTACAGCAAGGAATCAATGCTACTAATACAAGTTAAAACATCATACAACAATACAAGATTAAAATACATATAGATAAATGTCATACTAATGTTATTGTTATATATCTCTATACACAGGAGTCACATAAAAAAAATCTCTAGCCACAAGGGGTCCCGAGTAGAAAGGTTTAAGAAGCCCTGAGTTAGAGCATCACGTTGTTCTAGCCTATTCCACCTGTTCTGTGTACCTTTTAGCAATGTTCTTGCAGGCTGATAATGAGCACTATTGGTTGTTTTCAATATTTCAAGTGAAAGAGTTATTGGCCATATTAAAGTTATATGAGAAGCCAGGTATGTGTGCACATAAATCTCTGACAGTTCATTTCAAACTTTGCAGTGACTAAAAGTACCAATTGCCCTACTTTCAAATGAAGTCTAAAATTCTCATTTGATGCAGATATAATTCAGGGTAACCTACTGCACAAGGTTTTCAAGAATGCTGAGTTTTCTCCTCACTATATACATAAGCCTCAGTCACTGGCATCCAAGAAAATAATTCCCCTGAAGGAAATGGAAATATATCTACTTGGGAAGCTGAAGGAGGCCCCCAAAGAGGGCTGTGATAAAGCAACAGAAGTTGCTTTAGGCTGTTGCATAAGGTTTTTGGCTACCACTTCCTGCCTTCAGGGCTTGTTTACTCAGTTTGACTGCAAATGCTGTACCTTATTAAAAGACATTCTTTAAACTTCAGATAGTATTTCTCCTCACTTGTATTGCCTTTGGCAGACTGGTTATTTTTTTGAGTAAACTGCATTAAAGTGTTTGCCAGAAAACATGGCTCTGACAAGAAAATATTTGGGTCCTAGAGTCTAACATGAGCTAGGAAGCCTATTACTGTTGCTCAAATGTGTGTGTATGATGGAGACAGACTGCAGTTTACAACTCTGTGATATGATGAAGTTTTCAATAGCACACCATTGTTGTCATAATTGAGAATAGTTCCCATATGATCTATATTTGCAATGGCATAGGATACAATTTATTGACAATTAAAATAGATTTCCTGTATCCTCTGAACTGATATATGCAGTTTTACTTATCCATGATTTTACATATCCAGGTATTCAAGTAGCATTTCCTGGACACCCCTTTCTTGGTAATTCCATCATTCTTCCTATTGAAAATAGGCTTTGCTATTATGCTCAGTTTCACGAATTCACACAAAATCCAGGAATGTATCTGTGGAGAAACAGCAGGGATGAGGGGTGACTTTGTCACATCACACAGCACTTTGTCATGGTGACACTGCCTCCATCACATGAGGGAAGCATTACCGAAGTGGCACTGCTCCATGTTGGCTTCATTGGAGCCAGCACAACATGGGCAGGCTCCCATGTTTGGACAGAAGCGTCCCTTACACTTACACTCCGATTGTGGGCAGGGCCTCCACCGAAAGTTCAGCGATGTCGTGTGATGGGCAGTGTGCTGATCCATCGCTGGACTGGCAGGGAAGTGTCCTAAAATGATAAAACAGCCCTGTGTGATGAAGTGGCAAGTGAGGTGAAATCTTCTAAACAGGAGCACAGACTGCAAAACAAATGTTACAGGGGTGTTAACCCTTTCCTATGCTATCCAAAACTTTTTTTAAAAAATGGAGTTACACTTTAAAAATTCACCTGTTCTGACTTACATACAAATTCAACTTAAGAACAAACTTACATAATTTATCATGTCCATAACCTGGGGACTGCATGTATTGTGGTAACCCATAGAGTGATATGTAAATGGATTGACTAGCATACCCTCCACTAGTCCCAGTCTGGCCAGGGACAGGTCTGATACATCTTCTCTTGTTGCAGTTTTCCAGCTGCTTCTTAACTCAGCAAGAAAAGAGGGGAGAACAAAGTCAAAATTTTGTTTTTTCCAGTAGACTTAGACAGCAGCAAACAGTTGTAACCTCTCATAGTTTGTATGTTCTTCCCCATTAAATTAACTTTTGTGCTGACAGAATAATGATGCCAGCGGATATTGGTCCGACTGAAATGCTTTCCTTCTCTGCATCTTGTGTCAATCCATCAACATCACTTAAAACTGTGGCAGTAATATTTCACTGATAATAGTGTGGCATTGTGGTGATGATTGACTCTGGAGACCAGGGTGTGAATCCCCAGTTGGCCATAAAAGTCTGCTATGTGAGTTACACACTCTCAGCCCCAGAAACCCCTGTGATGGGGTCAGCTTAGGATACCCATAAGTCAGAAATGAATTGAAGTTACACAACACCGCCGCCACCACCAATAACAACAACAACAACAACAACAACAACAACAACAACAACAACTTATTATGGGGAGCAACCAGCCGTGCAATGAAGTTATATTTTTAAACATGTAATCAGTAATCAGTAATCAGTGAAGTTACCATACCAGTAAATCAAATAACAATTTCAAGTTGCTTTCAAAAGCTAGATCCATTTCAATAAGAATCGTCTAAATGTTATACTATTCTCTTATCAATCCCTTGTCTTTCTTCTTTTAAAAAGATTAACAGAAAGTAATAGGACAGTAACAGGCAGGTAATGTGTAGGAAAGAGAAATCCACCAGGACAGATTTGCTAACATGACTCTTTCATCAGTGCAAGTCCCAATTGGATCCTCATTGGAGAACAGAGGAAGTGAAACTTGAGTTGTTTTTGTTGGGTTTTTAAATTCCAGAATTCCTCTCTGAACTGATAACTAGGAAGTCCAGATGGTGATCCTCAAGGGAAATTACTCTCCCCTGGCATTGCAGTTTTCGTTTATTAATCTGTGATGTAATATTTGACTTTGTCATTATTCTGGTTTATGGTGATCCCTTTCATAGGGTTTTCTTGGCAAGATTAGTTCAGAGAGGATTTGCTTTTGTCTTCCTCTGTTTTGCCCACAGTAATTCACTGGGCAAAACAAGACAAATTAACACAATGCAGCATTGCTGCAAGTGCTGTCTGAAAGCTCCCTAAGACAATACCTTCTTCAGGCTGATCAAAACCCTTTCACACTGCACAATTATAGTACTATAAATTCTCTTTTGCTGTTGTGATAGCAACCTATGAAATCCTAGGACCTGCAGCATAATGAGGGATACTTATTCCCTTAGTTGGTGTCACAGAGTGCATTGCATTCTTTCATTGATTGAGGAATTACTATCATTATCATTGTCATTATACTTATTTGTATCTTGTTTTTCTCCCAAAAATGGGACACCAGGTGGCTCACAATTTTTAAAATGATAGCACTTGTCAATGGGAAAACTCCTCTAAAAAAATCTTATCAAGAAAATCCAGTGAGAGGTCCATCTTGTGTCCACCACGAGTTGAAATCATTTGGAAGGCAGGTAACAACAATGTTATAATTATCGACCAGAGACCTCTAGTACATCACCAAAGTGCAAATTCCATGGAAGGCGGCCATGGCAGTTAAAGTGAAATCATAATGTTAAGACTGTTCTGTCGGAAAGGCTCCAAGGTGTGATAATGAGAAATTTGGACCAGATGTTCTATGTTCCATTTGGCAAATTATTTTCTTTAACAAAACCCAGAGCAATTATGATAGGTGAGTCTGGAACCAGTTTGGAGAAATAACGTGAGCATTCTTCAGTTGTGATAGAATAAGGGGCAGGGAGATATTTACATCGTAAAACCAAGAACCTTACTAAACTTGTTTTGATGACACATCTTTTTTGTCTTGTTGATTGTTGTTCTTTTCACTTAAAGGTTGCAGCTACATGATTGCAAGTATCAAGTCCCTAAAGATAGTGAAGAAATCTGGAGACATGCATGGCTCATGGTTGAAAGACCCAGGCAAGAATCACCACAAAATTTATTTCTTAACTGGGACAAAGAACAAAACTGTAATGGAGTTTCCAAATATCGGGGCTTTCATTGAAAACAAGAAAAAACCATCGCCTCGGAGAATTAATCTTCCATTTCCATGGCAAGGAGCAGGACATGCTATATATAATGGCTTTCTGTTTTACCATAGATATGGTTCCTTAAATGAGGTAATTAAGTTTGATAGTCAGAAGAGAAATGTGACAGGCCAGATGTTTCTGCCTGATGCAGGCGAGGCACCTGTCTATGAACTTAATCCTTCTACAAAAATAGACCTAGCTGTGGATGAACTGGGATTGTGGGCAATTCATGCAGAGCCAGGTGGCAGCAAAAATTTGGCCCTTACCAAAATCAACCATGAAGCCATGGTTTCAGAGTATACTTGGGATACAAACTGCAAAAGCCAGAATGCAGAAGCAGCTTTCATGCTATGCGGTGCCTTGTATGTAGTATACAATTCACCAGGGGGAGGCACACCTCGTATAGAATGTATTTATGATACTTTAGATGTCATCAGTCCTTATGAAATTCCAACTATTCATTTCCCCAAACGCCAGACAAGTCATTCCATGGTGCATTATTACCCCAGAGAAAAGCAACTCTTTGCCTGGGATAATGCATCTCAGATCATTTACAAGCTCTTGACAAAGCAAAAGAGCTAAAAGAATAACAACAATCCTCCATTCCATCCACCTTTCCCAGTAAAAGTACAGGTAATAGAATGGGCTGCAGAATGCTATTGTTTTTTTCTATTTGTATTGTATACATTTTAGAATTTATTTTTTCATCTTTCTATACTTTTAAAAGACATTATTTTCACTTCTCTCCAGTCATCTATGAGCACTGCATAATGTCTCTTTCTCCTTGCAAAGAGAGATCGTTTTTGGATGCAACAACCATAAACATTTCTGCTTCAGGTTGCAGATCAGGGCAAAAGAACTAAACAACAATTTGGTGGTGGTGTGGCTCTTTGGAAGCTGTTGGCCTTGAACAAGTATTTTTATTATTACAACTAGCCATGCTAGCTAGAAATAATCTCAGAATTGCATCCCCAAAAGTATCTTTTCTAAATCCAAGGAGAATGGACCTGAACAACGATTGAGGAAAGTGTTGAACACTTGTCCTCGTCCCAATGAAGAAAAATGAGTGACATAAGTGTTTTTATCACACAAACAGTGCACCTAGTTTGACTTTTCTTTCTTGCTTGTTCCTCTCCTGCCTTCCCCTTATCCAAGATAGTATTTTCATCTCTAGTTTTGTTTTCCTCTGAATTTCCTGTTCTCTATCCCAATTCCACCCCAGACAGACATCATAAAATTGTTTTCAAGACCAACATCAGAAGACAACCATTCAGTAAAGAGAAACCTGCCACCGTCTTAATGAATCGGCTGTTTACACCAGAATCCTCAAATATGTCATCTTTTCCCATATTCCCCAAGTCTTCGGATTCCCAAATTTTCCCTGGCTGCCTTGGCTAGCTTATATTCACACACTGGCAAAACCTTAAAATATTCAGCTATGCATCATCTCAATCACTTTGGCTCTCTCCAACCATCAATTCCTTTCTGCCCTGAATACATTTTCTTTTGACCTTAAAATGATAGTTTTTGATTTTCTTCTGCAAAAGGCCAAGATCTCTGAAGGAGATCGCATTCTTCATTTGTAAAGGTCCCTGATTCAGCTCCCAAAATAATCTGAAATGTTTTGGAATGCTTCCTGCTAAAAATGACTCTATGTCAGTCAATATAAGAAATGCTATATGGTGCTGCTCCTATCATTAGGCAAGTGAGGCAGTGGTAGCTGATAAGGAGCAGTGATGGGATTTTGGATGGTAACGCCATGCATGCTCCCTGAGCCATTTCTGCATACAAGGCCTGGCCATTTTTAACTCCATAAGGGCCAGATTTTTGGTCAGGCTTAGCTGCCTACTCAAAACCAAGCTACCTGCAAAACTGCAAGCTAATATATTGCTTTCTCCCACTTCCTCCACTATTGTGAAGATATCAGCTAAGAGTGAGCAAAAGTATGAAATCTTGTATGGAGTTGCAGATTCCTTCTAATTAGAAAGTATTGGTCTTTGTAGTTTGGTGAGGTGCTAGAAGGTCTCTGACTGAGAGTTTTAGCCAATACTTCATCAAACTGCAAACCTCGGGATTCCACAGGATGTTGTTATAGCAGTTAAAGTGGATTCATACTGCTACAATTGTAGTGTTAAATGGCCCCTAGTGCTTTGATCTGTAAGTGCAATCTCCAATATATCAAGAATTGGAATGGTCTGGTTCTCCAAATGTTGAACTGCAATTTGCATCACCCCTTGTTTACATAGACAACTATGCAAAATGCCAGGAGTTGCAACACAACAGCATCTGAATGACCATACAATTTCCATGTTTGGACATGGAAATCCACTTTATGACTTCATTTGGGTTGTGCACACTCAGGACAACAACTACAACTCAACAGAGATGCAGGTCATGTTGTGTGGCACACTCACCTCTGTCCTCCAAGAAAGGACAGCTAAGGAGAAAAAGCTTGAGAAATGGTCCCTGCTGAATCCCAGCACACGCCACCAGAGATGCTACTTGGTGCTCCACAGAAAGGCATCTTGAGATGGCAAATGGTCAATATGGGGATGCAGGGAAGAAACTTTACAACAGACATAGTTTGATTAAACATTCCTGCTATGTGCATAATGGATCCTGTGGGATGGAGGTGATTACCTTTTACTAGCGGGGAACTTCCACACACGATAGAGAAGAATAAAATGTAGAAGCCTCTTTCAATGCTCTTGAAGAGCTAGTTGTGTGTAAAATTCTAGTTCGTCTCAACATTTAAGATCTCCACTAATATAGAATCACAACAATTCTACAATATTATTATCTTCAGAGCTGCTGCAGCCAATTCACCAGCCAGTAACCATACATCTTCTGAAAAGCTTCTCCTTATTCAGCTAGGTTTTCCACTAAACATTAGATATGCAGTTCTACCAGCACCCTTACTGAAAGGCTTACCACTTTGGTAAAATCTGCTGCTGCCTTCAAGAATCATGGATGATCACTCTTGGCCCAGTATGATTGCCTTACAGAAGTAGAGTGTCCGTGATGGGTCCATAAATGACTATGAAGACCTACTCTGGATCCACATGGTCTTTTACATTGAGGACATATTCCATATGGAAGGCAGTCACAACAAGGATTTACTTGACTTGCATTCCCCTTCTCTCTTTTGGCCTCTATTCACACCTTCTCAAAATCCATAGTGCCATTGGCAACAGCTGATCCCCAGTAAAACACTTGAGTGCCAAAGCTTTCCAGTTCTGTTTATATCACATTTTCTTTAGGTTAGCTTTAAGCCCATATTTAAATCTCCTCTGTTGTCCACTGAAATTCCATTTTCCATTCTTATGCTGAGAATAAAGTAACTGATTTGATTGGGCATTTAGACAGCATGGCCAGTCCAGCAAAATTGATGGCAGAGGATCACCATTTCAATGCTGGTGGTGTTTGCTTCTTACCCCCTCTGAGTCCCCCTGCGGGGGTGAGAAGAGTGGTGTAGAAATGATGTAAATAAATAAATAAATTCTTTGGTATTCTCCTTCAAGAATACTACAAGTAAATCTAGGTTCCCCAATAGGATGCATGATATCTATGTATTCTTGTAGCTATCTGTATGCTAGTTTTCCTAATGTAGAGGATATATTTTTAAAGAAATGAAATAAAAAATGATATATTGGCACAATTTTAAGTGTATTTGAATTCAAATTTCCAGCTCAAACTGTGCTTGGAAGGGGGGCGTCCAGGAACAGTGAATGGCAATGTCTCACCGAAGAATCATATCTTGTTTCCTTATGTTGAGACAAGAATAGTTGTTTTTTCTATAAGTTACATCATTTGAGCAAGCATGATTTTCAGAAGTAATCTCAACAATAATAAAAGGTACTTGCAATCATGCTAATGCTCTGGTTACTTACATTTGAAGACAATATGTTAAAATATCGTATGTCCCTTCCTAACATGCCTGTATTCTTCTGCCGCCCAGATTTTTCTTGGCTGCCTTGGCTCAAGGATTCCCACACTCCGGCTAAACTGAAAATTATATTCAAATTGAAACCATTGGTTTCTCCTCCAACAATGCACCATCTCAACTACTCATCTTTTTTGCACACTCATCACAACTGCACCTTACACAGAATTGTATCACCTACAAGTTGAGTCTCCATTATCCACAAATCCAAAAACTGATTTCCCCAGACACAGCAGCTATTCACTTCCACCTTCAAGGTGGTGGCTGTGACAGACTTGCTCATACCACTTTCAGATTCTTAGTCTCTCTCCTGTCTCACATGTCAGGAGGCTGGAGAGAATCTGGGAAGAGACAGAGACGGAGATACTGAGACTGAAAAATGGTGGAAGGCATTGATTTGCACAAGGTAACTTTGAAACCCACCCCTTTCTCCTTCTCCCTTCACACTATTCTTCTTTTCCCAGGGTATAAAAGGGCAGGTGGTGGGTAACTCCCTCTCTTACCTATTCTTCACCTCTTTATTCTTCTCTATTCTGTTTCTCTCCCCACTTTTTTCCTGCTGAAGGGAGAGATTGTGGTACTCCGCTGGAATGGGATGGGGAATATCTTTCCATTCCTTTTTCTTTCCCTTGGGCAGGATTGGGGAATGGGGAAAATATACTGCTGTGTTGAATTAAAAAATCTTGCTTGTCAATGGAAAGAGAACTGGGAGGGTGCCAACCTAGTTTGCTGTAAGAGGAAGTTCCAGAAGGTGAAAGCAGACAATGAGAAGGTCTGCCTGCTTCCATGTTCTCACCAAATGAGCCTGTGATGATGTTCGGACTAAGGGAAAGCCTTCTATTCTCTCTAATTTGATGGCAATAGGCTAGTTTCAGGAAGCTTTATCTTCCAACAGAACAATCAGCCTTCTAGCATAATCCTGAGGCAACTGCCTTACTTGGCTAATTAATATTAGTGTTAGTAGTTGCAGCCTGATTATGTTTCCTTGGTTGGGACACAAAATGGCTAAAAACTTAAAAAAAACACATAGTTAAAACACATAAAAGGTAAAAATAAATAAAAGATAATTAAACTGCATCAGGTATTACAATAATTAAAATACAATTCTACAATAAGAAAGTGGTCAAAAACAATTCAGCATCCCCTAGCCCATTTCAGATTTAAAAGCCTGTCTGAATAAAAAGGTTTTGGCCTGCTACTGGAAAGATAACAAGAAATGGTCTAATCTTAGGGGCTGTCCTGGGGCTAATTTGCAATTTATGCAAGATATAAACTTGTTGCTAATTCTCCTGAAATGCTTCAAGAGCTACACATTTGTGAGCATACAGTGAAATCAATTTGTGATTTGTTTGGGGGATTTTTTGGTGGTCCTTAGTAAAGCAAGCATTATCGCTCCTCAGGGCGTTGGGGCTGAGTGCAGTTATGTTTGAGCATCACATGGTCTGCCTCAGCCAATCACAGAATCGTTTTCCTCTCCATTGTCCTGGACTTCAAGTCCCAGAATTCCCTGTTTTTTCCCCACAAGTCATCTCCACCTTTCAGTAGGAGAGAAAATTTAAACAATTCCAAAAAAATCAGTGCATAAGTGAAATGTTCTGAAACTTTGTAGAAATTATGCCCTACTCATGCTCTGTTGCTCTGTGGAAATTCAAAAGGATTCTTTTGTTTTGTTTTGTTTCTAAAAATGTTATTTGTAAGAATTTTTTTTAAAAAAAATCAGTGGATGAGTGAAAATTCTGAAACTTGGCAGGCTTATGAACATAATTGTGTCCTATAAGTGTGCCAAGTTTCATCCTAATAGCCATTTAACTGACAGAGTAACGAGCCTCTAAAATTCCCCCATTGCTGTGTTTAGAATCTGAATTTCAGAAAATTCAGATTCTAAACACACACACACACACCTGCCCCCTGAAATATTTTCAAAATGGATTTCTGCCATTTCGCACACCCTAATATCTTTACACTTGCAAACATTATATAATATCTTCATAATTGCCAATCTCAGGTGCTTCTTTCCTTCCTGGTGTCAGAATTCCAGAGAAGGATTCAAAAGGCAGAAAGATGAGGGGAGAGTGGTGCAGGAGAAAAAGAAGAAGAGGACCTATGGATCTCCAGTATCGAAACCTATGACGGATTTCCATCTCTTCCTGAAATGGGGAATGATTCTTATCATCCTGGGTACTTTATGTTATGTAAAAAGTAGAAAAGAATGTTGTCTTTCAAAGGTGAATACAGTGTCTTACTATCTTCTGCTTTGCAAGCAGCACTCAGTGAGATTTGGCAACTATGAAATGCACCAGTTCTGCAATTGGATGGCCATGTTAGAACACAATCTTTTTTCTCCATTCAAACTTCCTATAAATATTAAACGTTATGTTACAAGAAAGTAGTTCTTTTGGATTAGGAATGTTAAAGAACTCTCTAGTAAAGGTAAAGGATTCCCCTGACATTAAGTCTAGTCGTGTCCGACTCTGGGGGGTGGTGTTCATCTCCATTTCTAAGCCAAAGAGGTGGCGTAGTCCAGACACCTCCAAAGTCATGTGGTCAACATGACTGCATGGAGTGCCATTACCTTCCCACCAAAGCGGTACCTATTAATCTACTCACATTTGCATATTTTCGAACTGTTAGGTTGGCAGAAGCTGGGCCTAACAGCGGGAGCTTATCCTACTTCTCCAGATTTGAACTGCCGACCTTTCGGTCAGCAAGTTCAGCAGCTCAGCGGTTTAACCCACTGCGTCACCAGGGGGCCTTAAAGAACTCTCTATGGAGACATTAATCCAAAAAATACACTAATCTGACATTGTTGAAGCTGATGCAATTGCAAAACCTAGAGTGGGATGTGTTGGTCATATTCTTTACATAACATCAAAAGGCAGAAAACCTCAGGAGTCTATCCTGTAAATTAAAACATATACCCCATTACCAATTTAGGAGGCTTAATGTGCATTGTATAGCTGTAGATATAAAAACCTATATGATGGATGAACTACTGAGCACTTTCAAACGACTTCTAGTTATGTGGATTTAAATAATGCACAATTCATGATATGGACACGAGATGGCGCCAGATCCTTGCATTTACTTTTCTATTTATGCATCAATTCGAAAAATTTCCATGTGATAGTTTTAGGGCTGCCATAAGCCTGAAAGGACTGGAAGTCGCAAAACAATAAGCACGTTCAAGCTACATTTTAGGAAAACATTTTTGTGCGGCTGTTTTAACGATAGGATCACTGTGTAAAATGAGCTTGCCCATGCTTAAAATAGTATTTCTATTGCAGGAAATTTCCCACTTTCCCCCCAACGTTCTTTGGAATGTTGTTTTTAAGTTATTGTGTAATCTGTTCCAAATTCCTTCCCATAACAAGAAAATCTAGTAATTTGTTGCAAGTGTTATCCTAACTGCTACTTTTTGATCGGTTTTTTTTGTTTACTAAAAAAATCTTGTGAGATTTACACTTGAAATTCAGCTCAAAATACTTGATGACAAAGCGATAACAAAAAAGTAAAAACATAAATCAGTTAACAAAGCAGATGCAATCCTAGGCTTTCTTTCTTTTTTTAAAAAAAAAAGAGGTGAAATAACAGTGCAACGTGTTTCTGCAAACCTGTTATTCAAAACTAGCATTATGTACATGTGAAATGAAAATCCGAAACCGGGTAAGCCTTGCACAAATAAACAAAATCATTTTCCTTCTTCTGGAAATCACTTGAAATCTTCTTCCAAAATACATATTGGATTTTTTTAAAAAACAGACTCCAGATGTCTTATGATTTCTATTTGGGTGGCAAAAGGTATATCTACGCTTTTTCAGCATGCCAGGGTAGATGGTAAAGCAGATAATCTCTCCCTCCGGCTTTTTTTTCTTGTTTTGATCTTCAAACACACTCTCTCAGTGATTCTGAAGGAAGCTGTTGCACATAAGCACCCAGGGCTAGGCTAAGCAGCACCCCATTCTTTCTCAGGCCGAGGTTTATGTACACTGTTTACTGGAGACACACTGCTGTAACCCAGGACTGAAGGTCTGCCTTGAGCCCTACTTCACCAGCCTCCCAGTGTTGATGGTGCAATTTTAAAGCAAAACCAAACAAAAAATAAACATTTCAACTAGACAGAAATGACTGGGCTATCATAAAAGGACTTTGTAAAAGGAGCTTCTTCAGCAGACGCTTTGTTAACTGAGGTATGCCTGTAATTAGAAAAGAATATGCTTAAACATCCCAGAAATTATGATATTACAGCTTGTGTTACTCTAATAAAGTTATATTGTGCATTTGTTACCAAAAATAGTAGAAAGCTGCAAGTAATAATATTACTTAAAACATGTCATTAAAACAAGTCCCGAGGAAGTGCAATACTTTACCCAGCACTGGCACTTCTGTGGCATTAAATGTTACAGGATAGTGCAAATAGGAGTGTTTCTCTCTCAATCCTTTCACTAGATTTTAAGGTGGTTGTCTTAGGGTGGATCTACACTGTCCTATATCCCAGAATCTTATTCCAGATTACCTGGCAGTGTAGACTCATATAATCTAGTTCAAAGCAGATAAATTGGGATCAGAACCTGGGAAATAGGACAGTGTATATCCAGCCTCAGAGAACAGCTTTTTGTATTATGAAAGATCAGCATATCAATATATGTGTTGTTGAAGGCTTTCATGGCCAGAATCACTGGGTTGCTGTGAGTTTTCCAGGCTGTTTGGCCATGTTC